ATAAATTCGACAGGTGCAAAGTTAGCAGTCACATATCTCAGGTGGCGTCCAACCTAGAAGAGGTCATGGCGGATGCCAGTGGCTGCCTCAATGTACTGCCTTCCAACTAGTTACCGTCACGTATCTACGCTCCTGAATTAGATCTGCCACGCCAATGCTGTAATCAAATTTTCATCATTCCCGATGCTATCCTCTCGTACCTATGTCGCAAAAGGTGTAGACGTGATGCTTACCCCGCTTCTGGACTAGTGACAACTGACTTTCTCTTACATCCGTAAAGCTAAGGTACGGAAAGCACGGAAGTAATGAAAGACAAGAGTTCACTTAAAAACCTCAAAATACTGAGCCTATTATGTGGGCTGAAGGGATTTATTTGCGGACTAGATTAGAACCTGCAGAATAGGCCGCGGATTTGCTCCCGAGTTTCCTCCGCTAAATCGGTTAACAAGGATATCCGCACCTCCTAAAGGTGAGAATGACTCTACAAGCTTTTGGATAACGAGGCTGTCTAATAAGAAGAGTTCGAGAGTGTAATGTGATATAAAGTCCCTCGGATTCGCTTTCTATACTTGATGATACTTTTGATTCTACGAGCTAGGTGTAACGTTGACCGTCAACCGTGGTATGAGTACCATGAAATATGGCAATTGCTGTTCATTGACTAGTTGAGGATTTCAAAAGCTTGCTTTAAAACTGCATGAGAGATGTGCTATATGATTTCCAGGATCTTATTCACTTACTCGCACAACGGAGGAGTTGCGTGCGAAATACGTATAAAGGCATGATCTGGGTAACAACATGAGCAGGATTAGAATGACGAGTAGCTGATTTGATGTCTGCATGGGTGTTAAGTCCCTGATATAAGACCGTCATTGTTCTTAATAGCTGATTCTACCTTACTTATCTCTTCAATTGATTGCTTACTCAAGGAAGAAGACAAACCGTTACACTAGGTAGGTTTGCGGGCCGAAAAGCAATTGATGGTTATATGAGAGCCGCTCAACCCATGACACCGTCGCTGTCATAAGCTCCCCCCGAGCAGGCCTAGGGACACGAACTTGTAGGCTATGGGTGTGACGAATGCGACTGTAGTGAGGTTACCTCCAAGCAAGTCAAGTCGGTACCGTGAAGAGTATTTCCATGTCATCCGGGCCGGTATAGGAAGGACGGACCGTGCCGGTGTCAAGATGCATGCAGTCTCTCGCAGCGAGGTTTCGCATGATAACGCATTCCTTAGCATCCGGTCGGCAATTGCTGACATGAAGATAAGTTATCTCTAGCCAAGAGATCCGGCCTTGTTGACCCCGATTTTGCTGTCTTGGCGATGGCAATGAGAATTGACACATTTAACCGGCGACCCACACATACACCGCTTTGCATTGGCAACGTCGGCATTGACATTCGGCCGGAGCTGCCAAACTTTCAAAGATTGACAGCTCTAGTAAGCAATTACAGCATCCTATCAACGAAAGACTGAGGGCAATCCGCAACTTCCTAGAGTCCTAGACATTGGTAGTTGGCTACGACTCAAGTCCCAAAAGGGTTCAAGTATTTGACTTGCCTGATGGGGTAACGGGCCTCCGGATATCCACCACGGGGGGCCCCATTTTACAGAATTGCGCGCAACTCATTACCTAACGCCCCTCAAGCGAATGCGTCTCTACATTATCCAACTTCCTTTTCCCATCGTTTGCTCTCGCTCGTCATCACCGCCACGCGAATCTGGTGCCATTCCCATGCAGGTCAAGCCGCGACAACACGGTCGGGATTCATCCAAGATAAGGCGTCAGAATACACAAGAGCCGATGGTCGGTTTCCGCAACTCGCAAGCAAGCTGGGGTTCCCCGCGGTTCCGATGCCGGGATAGTAAACAAGGCCGGGCCCATGCAGCGTCCCTCCCGCCAAGACACCAACGATATGAACTCCAAAGAAGCGAGAACTCTGACCCCCGTCATGACCTATGCGCGATTAGAATTTTCCACGTTCTCTGTGGTCGCTTGCGCCGTCTTCGGGCATGTCTCCCACGTTGTTACAGTGATTGCGGAGTTGTGCCCTGATAGTCGGTAACCGGTCCTGCGCAACATGACACAAAAACTCGACTAAACGCAACCTCCGCACCCCGAAAACCTCGGTGACGGGACTTGAGTCAATCTAATTAGATGATGCCCAGCCTTTAGAGATCTGCTAAGCCTCCAATATGTCCATCCGGGTGCTTATCAAAACCTCACTTGGTTGAGCCTCATGCATAGTCAAGGTAGGGGAGCGTTCGGCAGACAGCCATATAAAGAGCAAGTTTTAATCACGGGCATCAGCCTTGAGCCTCTTGAACTTCTTACCGTTTGTCAAGCTTGCTCTCAAAATCTGCCATGGTCAACATGGCTGCCCGTTGGTCAACTCTCCTCACTGCCGCAGCCAGTCTTTGCCAGACGGCTATTGCGGAACCCGTATTCCGCGAGACGGTCTCTTTTCAGGGTCCGTTTGAAGTCGAGAGAAACGGAGTTCGCAACATCAACATTGAGTACAATGGCCCTCTCGATGGAGAGCTATCCCTTGTCTATGGTGATTGTGGAATGAGATCCCCCTTCGAAGCCCATCACAAGATTGGGCGGACACACATTGGCTCTCACCCTGCTGCAAAGCGTCACCTGGAATGGACAGATCAAAGGCCTACAAAGTTTGTCTGGATGGTGCCTGAGGATGTGTCTTCGGGATGCTTGCACGCCTTTGTTGACAGCCAGCTTGTCGGCCGCTCTTCAGAACACTCTGTTAAGAGTCGCAAGATGAGGAAGCGTGCGACTTTCGCCGAGGCCACGGACCCAATGGGCCCCTGGTTTGATGGCGTTGAGTACCTCAAGCAGAAGCAACCCGACGATGTGTTTGTTGCATCGGTAAAGAACAAAACGTTTGGTATCTTGGGCGCTGGCATCTCCGGTTTGCACACTGGCGTAAGTTTTCATAGACCTCTCATTCGGGAGAAGAAGCTGACCAGAGCCACAGTTGCTACTCGACTCAGTAGGCATTCATAACTGGAAGATTCTGGAGTCTTCAGAAAGAGTCGGTGGACGTATTCGCACCACCTACCTGAACGGATCGACTCCGGACGAGCATCAGCACCACGAGCTAGGACCTATGCGGTTTCCGCACAGCATTTACGATGCTGAAACCAACGAGACCTACCCCATCAACGATCAGAAGATGATCTACCAGCTGGCGGATGTCCTCAACGAGATTAACGCTGACGCGGATCCCGCTCTCCAAGTCAAGTTCATCCCGTGGATCCAGGTTTCCGACAATGCCCCTGTTGCAACCAAGGAGCGCCGTCCCGATGGCACTGTCCCCGGTCGCAAGGAGATCGCCGCCGACCCCTCCCTCATGACCAACACGACCTACTCCAACGCTACCGCAGCCAAGGAAGCCATCCAGGCTCTTGATGACTTCAAGGCTTTGACGCCCGAGAGACGGAAGTTCTACGCTACCAATGTCTTCAAGGCCCACAAGGAGGCTGTTGAGACTGGCATGTTCGATTTCTCTGAGGTCGAGTACCTCCTCCACGTTATGAGCACCGACCTGAATGTGACCGATGAGGTTACCCCGTCTCACGTCGTCTGGCCCATGTGGGAGTTCGAGACTGTCTACTTCCTGGCCAATGAGTGGCGCACAGTTGATGGAGGTATCAGCCGTCTCCCCGCTGCGTTTGAAAATATTATCAAAGACCGCATCGCCTACAAGACTAAGGTCTTTAGCGTCAAGTACAACGAGGACTCCAACAACCTCAACGTCACGTGGCGTGAGACTGGAGGCAACCCCTGGTCCAAGAACACTACGACCGAACAGTTTGATTATGTCTTCAACAGCGTACCGTTCAACGTACTCAAGTACTGGGAGCTGCCGCCTCACTCTAGCTTGATGCGCCGTGCCATTGAGCGCACAGTCTTCTTGGGTGCCGTGAAGGTTGCCATGCAGTACAAGACTCGCTTCTGGGAGCACCTCGAGCACCCCATCATCGGTGGCTGTGGACGTACCGACATTTACGGCATCGGCCAGATTTGCTACCCTTCCTACAACATCAACGGAACCGGCCCTGGCGTCATGCTTACGAGTTATGCGCCCGACGCTGACGCGGTTGTCGCTTGCTCCATGCCTGTTGAGGAGCACATCGCCTACATCCAGCGAGCCATGGTCGAGATCCACGGCCCCATTGCCGATGAGATGTGGACTGGCAACTACGAACGTCACTGCTGGGAGCAGGATGAGCATCATGCGGGAGCTTTTGCCGTCCCCATTGTCCCTCAGCAGCAGCTCTACCTCCCAGCTTTCTGGCAGACTGAGTTTAACACAGTTTTCATTGGCGAACACACCAGTTTCACGCATTCATGGGTATTCAGTGCCCTTGAGAGCTCTACGCGTGGTACTGTTCAGATGCTACTGGACCTCGGCCTGGTTGATGAGGCTAAGCAGATCACCAGGACTTGGATGGCAAGATGGATTAGTGTTTGATGTGGCTTAAGCAGGCCTATCGTGCACTATCAATTGTCAAACAAAACTGAGTTCAGCTCTATTGGTTATTGACTTTTAATACTACTCCGAGACTTTTCACCCTTTCAAGCTGCCTGATTCAAATGCAGTACTATCAGTCCTGTGAATGTTGCGAACTCCTTCCGCTGTAAAAGCCAACGGACATGACATTTGAAAAGCCAAACCTAGACAGAGAAACCAAAGCATTCATGTGCGGCCACCCTAGATGGAGATCTAGCTATCTAAGTCTTGCGAACTTGTAGAGTCCCTTGAGAACGCAAAGCAACATTCTAATACGTCCTTCAACCCACACCAATGCCCATCGCTGTAAACAGAGAGAAGAGAGCCAGGTCTCTTGTACTCGATGCTTCTGCCATCGCCCGCTCGGTCACCGCGTCTGCCGTGCATTGAGAGTTGTGACTGACCGTTCCGTGTATAGAGATCTGGACTCATTTCCTGCGGTTCGAAAGGTCTATCTCGAGTTCTCAAATGAGTGCTATCTGCACTGGCCTCTCCGAAACGTCGGGCTCCTGGTATTGATGGTCGAGCATCGTCGCACAAGCCCAAGTCTGGTTTTATTATCAGTGGTGTCCGCTCAGTTGGCCGGGCTTTGGGGTTCATGTCAGGACTTCTGCTAGTAGATTGATGAACTTTTTGTCCCGCCTCATTTTCATGGCCATATGTGGAAAGGACGTCGGCAATGTTGTTCATCTCTCCATGCGATGCACAATTCAAAGACCCGCGGTCACTTTTGGGACCCCAAGTCTCATCGCAGAATGGCTCTACTACCGGAGAAAATGCTCGTGCATTGGAGACTGCGTCACCTTGGAGCGAGTGTCGTTCCGCCCCCGGCAGGGTACGAGAAGTTGTCGATTCGCAGCCTTGACCCATCAGGTACTCTACGTCAGGTGTTTTGGCATTACACCTGCGCTCCAGTGCTCTAAGTTGCCCGGCGATGTTAGCGCAACTTTCTCTTTTCGCTGGCTTGGGTTGCAGAAGATCCTTGACAATAAGGTCCAGGAAGTCTCTGAAAAAGCCACTACAGTAAGGCTGCCTTCTCAAACCGTCTATCCACTTCAAGTTGTAAGTAAAGACGCAGTCAGCGAATTGCGGGAAAATTCAGTCTTCGTTTATGTAAGGGTGATTTTGACTTACATCATTGACCGACGGTTTCACTTTCGCCTCTTTCTCTCCATTCTCTTCAATGCCGGGTATGAAGAACTTATCCTCCTTGATACCTACTGGTGCACCTGTGTCATCTGCCGTCCGACACCCCACAAACTCCCCAATACCTTTGGGCCCCATAAGGTACCAAGTAATGAACTCTAGATATACACAACCAAAAGTCCACATGTCGTAGGACCTGGAAATGAATGGTTCAAGGTCAAGTTCTGGTGCTCTGTGCGTTGGACTGTAGCCTGCTGCCGGGGTGTTTGACCGAGTGTTTCTCCTATGAAAGCGAGTGTAGCCGAAGTCGCTGATTACCATTATTCCGAATGGATTTGAATCGCTATGGAAGAGGAGTATGTTTTCAGGCTTAATGTCTCCGTGGATACCATACTCTTGTGCGTGATCCGCGTGATCCGAAGGGCTTTTATGGATCTTCTGCAAGCCTTCGGCAAGACCTCGACACTGCGTGGATATCCATTTGACAAATTCGGGCGATCTTTCTGGCTCGCCTCTCTTCCAGTAATCTTTGAGGTTGCTTATGGCCCATGGGAACAACATATTCCAGCTATCACCTTTTCTCCAAGTCGCGAGTAGCTTGATGACATGGTCATGGCTTGATAGACCAACAGTCTTTGCCAGGGCCCTCACCTCTGCACGGAAATTCTTTTCGCGACTGATGTCCAGTCTATCATCAGGCTCAGGAAGTAGTTCCTTTACAGCAAAGAACGGGTTTTCGTCGGGAATTCCCTGTGATATATACTTAGGTTCCAGTTTATCAAAAAATATATGCGATTTGCCTTACGTTGTGCATAGTATGATGATGCATATGGATTTGTACCCGCTGAACTCTGCTGTAAGACGTTATGTCGGACGACGTAGCTGGAAACTCCTTGATGAAGGGTAGTACTGTATCTGGCTCCAACTCGTAGTGGTGAATATTTCTTTCCTTGTCATTGGGGCCAATGTCGAAGAATGGAGACCGCATTGTTTTTTGATATCTCTCAAAGGCCCCCCAGTCTCGCAATGGCCAATGGCGCCCGAAAATCTGATTCGCGAAACCAGAAGGAGGGTTCTTAGGGAATAGCTGACCATCTAAACTCGGTTGATTTGAGTCCGGGACGAAAGGTAGATTGTAGTCCGAGAGGTTGAGATCGATGAATTGGATAATTTCATCTACTCTCTCCAGGACTGTGAGAATTGCAAACATGCTGCGGGCTCCCATGGGAGATGAACCATCAGGATTGCTTCGAGGGCATATATCTTCTGCGTATTTCCATAGTTTCGTGTCAGAAAGCTCGAGCTTCGGGCGAGACTCTTGTAATGCCCGGAAAACCGAATCCCTGGTGACAATCCTATATAGTTGATTGACTGGTAGCCACTGCGCTCCTTGAGATTTGCCGCCATAATACTCCAGTGACCGAGATACATCGCGTGCCATTGATTTAACAGTAGATGCACGCATGCGATGTGTTTCCGTGTTCTGTAGGTGAGAACCCATTTGGCGGAGGTCAGTCTCGGCTGATATGAGTCCACTTTGATCCAGACATGATGCAAACGTGCTACTATCGAATACTGTTCCAGCAGCTGCATAACCTCTATCATTTTGGGTTGCAATACTGATGTCGTCGTCATCTGAATTATGTTGTCTTTTTTGAAAATGCTTTCTGGAATCACTGGGGGAGAGACTTTGCCCATTCCGTTCATGGCCAATCAAAGCGTTGAGTGACAGGGGCGAGTCAGGGCCCTCATTCTCGTTCCATGTGGAAAGAATCAGGCGAGGCCGCTACAAGCCGAACACGGTTTAGCCAAAGAAAACATTGAAGACAGGAAGCAATCCGAACTGGGTGCAAAGATCAAGTAATTGACAATTTCGAAAAGAAGCTAACTGACCTCAGTGGATAAATGTACTCCTGGCTGTGTTTCTTCAAGAGTAATATTGTCATCGTCTTCTGGGGCAACACTCATGGTTTAACAAATGGCACGGGGGCATGGAAATCGAATACCAATAGTGTTGATCAGAGGTGTTCCCCTTATCAATTGGAGCGGAGAAAGAGCTGGAAGGTGCTCATATACTATTCGTGCGACGGTCAATCAAGAGGACAGTCACTTCAGTTCCCCTAATCAAATCAGATGAGCTTGATTCAGATCAGCTCCAGCATGAATATTTTACATAGCCTCAGAGCTGATTAGGCACTGGGAGTCCGATGTCCGGAGTAAGTGCTTGGACGGCACTGCCTCTGACGCCACCTTCCCGACACTATTCCATGCTGTTCAGATATCAGTAGAAAGACAGCTTCACCGGAGCCTACCTCATTAGCCTTTAGAATATGGCAGGCAGAGAGACCATGGAAGGACTGGACCAAAAGCCTACCCCCCATGCAGTCAGACTATTGATGCGCCAAGTATTCATAGGCGGCCAAACGGGCTGAGTACCAATTAGTGTGTCTCAAGCGAACCTCCATTAGGCGAAGATGGAAGTAGAAAAAGTCCTAAGGATCCGTGGCGTGAAAGGGAATGGAGGGTGATGGTAACAGCAGTTGTGGACCTGTGGTTGGCTGAGAGAACCCTCAGCCTGCCGCTCAATGTCCCATTGGGACGCAGCCAAATATGGGCAGATACCTTTAATTCCGCTGCGCCGTGTTTTGGCGGAAATCTTGATGACATGATCTTCTCCTTAGGTCACTTTGAAGGTGAGGAAGATGATATAAAAGGAAGCGACAGATTCTGCTACCATTTTGCCATCACTCCAATAGCCTCAGCCTCTTGCCTATCATCTCCGTCAAGAAGTCTATGACATACTAAGTTACAGAAACTTCCTTGAGATCACTCATTTATTCATATCTACCATATCCCTCTTTTCACCCCCGTTCTCATTGTGGGGCAGGAGATCCGTCAAAGTACTGCCGAATCATTGTCAATATGGCCATGCCCTCAGTTTCTAACTCCTCAAATTTTCATGGTGAATGGCAGTACATACATTGCAAAATGGTCAAAAGCCCGCAGGGGCTATCAAGTATTCTCACAAGCCTTTATGGGCCTGGAAAGTTCTCTGTCGAAGTAGGTTCTTAGCTCAAGCGCTTCAACATGGAGCCTGGCTATTATACCCATGTCCGTCTTACAGAAACGTTTGACTGATATTAATCGAAGACAAGGCAAAACGTGTACTGCATAAAAGCAGAGGATTCGGCGGTTCCGCTGGATCTTGTGAGTCTTTTCCGTGAGCCCTACTGTCGTTTTTTGCGTGTGCTGATGAAACGAGGAAACAGGCTCGCCCTGACGTGAGGGATTCCTTAAATGGGAAGGTTTGCCTGTAGGTATTGGGTATCTTGGGTAAGCAATGAGGTGCTATTTCAAAGCATCACTTATCAAGAAGAAGAGGCACAGTGTTTCTTGGTCGAGTTTTGAAGAGTTCGAATTCGGAGTTCATTCCATAGCTATGGCAGCAAGAGAGTTTCCCGTAGATACATGAGTGCGATTCGTGTTTTTCTCCCGAAATGAGACTATACGTGACCAAGTCCGTTTCAGCTGCTGACGGCGGAAAGGAGCCAAGGAGACTGAGACAAGTACGTTATCTGGCTGAAAGCCCTAAAGATAAATTATGTTGCCCTGATTGCTCGCCTGATCAAGGCGGTACTTCTACGTATATGGATGTCCCTAGTCACATGGTTCAGCACCCAATATGCGAACCAATGGCCGTTGATGGTGGCTGAATGGCCAGGCGACAAGGCAAAGACGTCGGAGCCTGCTTCACATCTACTAGTACTTATGGAACGCAATGTCAGATTCGTACTGGTTACTATCACTTTGATAATTTTGCAAGGCAACAGTAGTAATGAGAGCAGCAATGTAAGCCGCATGGAAGAGGGTGTGCTGAAATTTCCGGACTTGATACTACATGCAGTCGGCGTCCTTGGGAGCACCTCCCAATGAAGTTCATATAGGCAAGATTTATGTCATTATTAGTTGTCGCTCCCACACTCGTTAACGGAAAGAAATTTAAAACCTCAGCAACCCTTCTCTTTAGCTCGTGACTTCCAAGGTCCAAGTTTCTCTTGACAAGACGACATTACCTCTCGTTCGACATGGCTAACCGAAATGGTATCCTCGACAGAGCCACACCATCTATTCAGATCAATGACGGTCCACAATACAGAGTTGACGATTTGCGTGCGACTGACTCAGCCGTTACATCCTGGATCACTCCTGTGCTGCCACGTTTAGAAAATAACATAACAGACATCGACGATGCTCAGGAGCACATTGAAACAAGGCTTTGGGACAATGCCATCAGACCGCCCTTCGCCTTACATAGTGACGCTGTGTTCTGGCCTTCAAAACTTATCGAGCACTTGTTCGATAGAGAAGCAGTGCTCAGCGTTGTTGTGCACCTCTACAGGCGGAATGCGCTCCCTGCACCCCATAACGCGGGGTCTCTTGACAGCATCTGTCAAGAGTGGACCAATAGGATCTTCGGAACCCCTGGGCACACAACAAGGTATCGTCTGGTCTTTGCGATCTTAGTTCTTATGCAAAAGGCCTCGTGCATCCAGAACTTCGTCAATGAGAGATTGGACGACAGCTGTCTGCCTCTTCGACTCGATCAGATCAGAGAATACAAGGGCCAGAGTTCTGGGCAACCACATCGCCCGTTTGGCGGATGGTCGCCCCTTCTAGTAGGCAACTTTTACAGTCTGCAGTGCAAGCTGTTTGTCCAGTTCATTGCAAAATCTTCATACAAGGGAGAGGTCTCCCATTACAACTTCGATGCGGCCCACGTACTTCCGTGGGTTATGATATCCCAACCGGTTTCAATTACTGCACCTATTGGTGCCGACGGATCTACCTCGATGAGTTTGAGTGGTGGGTTTGGAGAAGTAAAGCAAATTGTCATCCATGGCTGGCAACATAACTTCCACCGGACTCTGCATGAGGTGAGGTCCATCAAGATCTGGTCATCTCACTCTTTTGTATTCAAATTAACGTAATCAAGATCTCCGCAGCTCCGGGCTGTTTTGCTCTCAAAAAGCTTTACATTCCGAACAAAGAAGAGTTTGAGCAAGAGGTTAAGCACCTAAAGCGCTTTGGAGGGAGGCACCCCCACATCGTCACGCTCCTCGCAACATTCACACGCCACACAAGTGGTGGTATTGAGTATCTTCTTCTTTTCCCTTGGGCTGAGTGTGATCTGCTGGAGTTCTGGAGAAGAAACACGTTCATAAATAGAGACTACCAACTTTATCTCTGGACGGTAGACCAGATCTGTGGCATTGCTGGTGCTCTGAGCTACATTCATGACCCCAACGACATGGACCACCTGGACTCCAAAGGCAATCGTTTGTATGGGAGACATGGAGATATCAAGCCGGAGAACGTCTTGTGGTTCAAATCTAGAGGCCGGGGTAACCTTGTTCTCTCCGATCTCGGGCTTACACGGACACACAGACAAGAGAGTCGTTCCAACCGACCAGGTGCAGAAATTCCCGTGTCTCCTAACTATAGACCCCCTGAGTGTGATATTGAAGGGACGGAAGGTCGTATATCGAGGTCTTTCGACATTTGGACTCTTGGTTGCCTTATCCTCGAGTTTATGGTATGGTTTCTTGATGGCTGGGAAGGATTCGAAAGCTTCAAGCAAAGGCGCATGTCACCATACATCAACAGCCACGATACGCCCATCTACTTCAACATTGTCCGGATTTCTAATGATAATTACGCTTTCAATATCAAATCAAGCGTGACAGATGTTTGTATTCAACATAACGTTCTACAGGTGACATTGCTAATGAATGATGCAGGAGTTCGACCGACTACGGAGACACAAGCGGTGCTCACAGTTCATCACCGACCTGCTGTATCTGGTCCAAAGCAGAATGTTGATTGTTCAATCCATGGATCAAAAACGAATCGCAGCATCGGATTTGTGTCGAGATTTGACGAGTCTGCGAACAAAATGCCATCGTAGCAAATCGTACTGCGAGCCGCCGGTTTCATCGATGCAAGCCATCGAACGACCTTGGCCTGTCGAGGCGAGGCTCAACAAAGTGGCGAAGAAGAATATCGCAGCTATAGATGTCAGACATTTCGATGCGATCATCATGGACTACGAAGGTCCAACACGGTCAGCTGCTGCTAGGTAATTTGTTTATAACGTTGACATTGAGAGAATCGTGATTCACGAAGATTACGATATGGCGAAAATGGTTCCTATGGTCCCTAAAAGACGGAACTGCTTGCTTCTATTCTATGACAACATTTGGTATTGCATTGACAGGGCATCCTTGATCCATGCTTTTAAGCATAGTGATCTTCCTGGATTGCTCTCAAAACTGTCTCGCGCTCAACCTGCGTAAAGATTAGATAAGAGACCGAATGATAGATAGATGAATAGGACAGTCTGACCGGTTTCAACTTCCTTGGGATGGTGCAAAAGAATCTCCCACGCTCGGACTGTGGTCCAGAAGCCTTCTGTCAGCCCGTGTATCTCAACAAGTGACTTGGTATGCGGTTGGACGAGCTTCTTACAGATATCTGGAACTTTTGGCGTGGAAAGATAAGTCGTAGGTGCTGAGTGATCACCGCTTCATCGGTGTACCTGCCCTGGAAGACCTCAGTAGCCATGATCGACGAGTGGAACTGTGCAGTTTTTTTTTCAATTCCTTTCCATTCGGCTGAGTTCTTCTGTGAACACAACATGGAAGAGGGGTCAATTGACGTGGTGGCATCAGCGGATATAGCTCACTTGAGGGCGCTGGTCTATACATTAACTCCTGCAGCCATAAGAAAGCCTTGTTAAAAGCCCGAGTCAGATTTTGCTTGGGAAATGCGGTTCTGCGTTACGGAAACCTGCTACAGGGTGACCACGCACGTAGACGCACATCACTAGACCCTTCGAAACAGCACATCATGCACGGAGTATGTCAGGCCCCCCAGAACCTTCTTACACGAAGCATTCCTTATTCGTTATCTATCGTGCAAACAAATTAATAAGGCAAGATTGCCTCGTCATGACATCGATTTGTGGTCTGACGAATACATGTATTCTAGCTTGGCCGCGACGTTTGCGCATGTGGGCTGTGCTGACCTCATGACCATCATAGGCTTGTGCGGATGGGCGGGATCACAAGTTTTCGAGCCTGCTTTTCTTGAGACACGGAGGACGGTGAAGTCTCCCCTTTGGAGGGCGACGTCAAGTGAGAAAAGCCGTGGCGAACCACAGTTCGGGTCACATATCATTTTCAATAGTCTCACCGACGGAACGGATGCAACAGGGAAAAACAAGGCGAGCAGCCCTCAGTGAACTGTCTGCCTCGACCATTGAGAGACTAGTATTGCATGCAAACATGCAGAAAATTCGTGGCGCTGCTGCAGGAATGCGGTGTGGTGGCATTTGTGTTGTAGTACCTTGAGGTACATGTAAGATGGCAAAATGCTTGACAAATCATCCCACAGGCAAGATTACTCACGCAGCCTCAGTGATGAGGTGCAAATAGGGCGCAAAATCTCGCTCCTCCCGGAATTTTTCACACAGCTGAATATCGGATGCAACCTGAAGCTCCCGCATCTCTCATCCATCTCGGTCATGGATTGGGCATCGGACGATGGTAGCTTGAATGAAGCCGACCTACAAAACGTTTTCCGGTATCTGCCACAGGAGACGACGGTAGTGAAGATTCTACCCAATCAATGCGTTCGTATTGTGTACACCCCTACTCGAAGAAACTAGAAGCTCATCATTCAGTAGGGCACAAAAGTCTGCATGCGGTCGATCGGAACCCCGGCAGAATGGCGATTGTGGCTCGAGAACGTATGCTTCTACCTTCTACTATCTCACTCGATAGCCTATTGATTACTGATGACTGACTACAGGACACTCCATCACTTCACAAAGACTCTGGTCTTGTACTAATGTATGAAGTTTAACTCTTTTCAATACGACTGACTGATTGTGTTACATGCAAAGAATTGCCAGACGGCCATATGTTCCTTCGATAAAGCTTTACGATGGAGGAAGCTCTCCTAATGCGCAGTCTTTGAGATCCGTGCCTGAATCTTTCGATGAGAAATTTGGACCTCTCAGCTCGACTAGCAATGGAACGTGGTCAAGCCACTCTATCGCGAATATTGAGTGTCAGGCCGGCACGTCAGAGTTGCCGAAAGGTGGCAAGAGGGAGGTTCGCCAACTACCTTTTGATCAGAATACTTTCAGGGACATTTGTGACAGATTCTTTATACACTCTTCGATAGCACGAGTCATCAACCGGGCAGATGTTCCTGTGTTTTCTAGATTCTTTGTTACTATGAGGCTGGAAGATTCAGATCCAACTGGCCAAACTGCTATAGGTATGCGCCCTACCCGTAGCCAAACAGCTGCATTATTAAACTCAATTACAGTATACCAGTGCAGATCATCTAATACATGGGCGGACGACATGGCTCTGACGGCCACTCACTTTCCCCAGAGCAACTTAACCTATGCGGTACTATTTGGGTGTACAGCCGAGGCTGAACGCAACGTCATCAGCCGATTAAGTCGCGCGACGGACCACGCATTCTACCCTCTGCTCCTACCAGGGATATTCGCAGAGCTGGAAAGAGATCGGATGGCGAAGGTCGTCACAGAAACGGTTGATGCCATCGAAGGAGCAATCTTCGAGCTTGGCACCGGTAACCCGGTCGAAGGCGAGGAGGTTCTGGAAGAGGATAAGATTGACATGCGACATTCTCGAAGGTCTGCTTGGCTAAATACAACATTTCTTCGGAACAGCCTAAGAGCATGGAAGGGTCAACTTCGAAAGATGGCAGACCATGTTGCTGAGCTATCTAGTCTCCACAGGGGCCAGAAAATTGATGGAGTTTACAGACAGCTCAAGAAAGAGGAAGAGCAGAAGAAGACTGACATATCGTTGGATCGGACAGAACTGATGATCTACGATAGAATCCAGGCTCTCATTGAGGAATTTGAGGATAGGATTCAAGAATGCACGATGAGCGTTGAGGGAATGACGATTGCCACACAATGGGTAAGTTAAAGTCGTATCTTTGACGGAATCACTCTTCCAGTGTGCTGAAGACCAACTGACTAAATTTTCTCTCAGGCTCAGGGAGACACCAATGTGGACATTGCAACAGCTACCGGTCGGGATTCGAGGCAAATGCGTTCTATTGCTGTGGTAACAATGGTGTTTCTTCCGGGCACATTCTTCGCAGTAAGTTCAAGGCTTGCTGTAGTTATGATGTCAAAATTTGAGCTAATTATGAACAGACATTGTTCTCCATGTCATTCTTTAACTGGTCTCCAGATGACTCCCAGTCGTCCGTCGTGTCCAGCTATATTTGGGTCTACTTTCTTGTCACTGGTGTCTTCACTATATCCACCCTTCTTCTCTGGTGGTATTTTCTTTCATCTCGCAGAAAGAAGTACAGAAGTTGCAGTTTCGCTACATACCTTCTGAAAGTCTGACCAAGCTACGTCCGAAAAACCTAGATACTTAGTCATTAGGCTGTGTCAATTCCAGGACATCGTTAGAGTAGGAAGCTGCAAATCTCGGGCGGCCTCCTTGTTTAGCTTGATAGGCTCTTCCAAGACAATCAGAAAGTCTTCGAGTTTCTCCAACATCACTCTATTATCGCCCTTCTCCCGAGTTGAATAATCTGCGAGGTCAAAGCTTCTTGGGCATTGGCGAGGAGTGCTGCATCAAAATTATTACCGATGATCCCATGCCAGGGATCAAGACCTTGTCACCAAAGTTCACTCATAACATCTTGAATGAGTATTACCAAGATGAGTTGGGCTTGTGCCTCAATAGATATCTCGCTTAGACGTCTAACGGGCAATAAAAGACGTAGTTCTTACCAAGGAAAGAAACAAGTCAGACAATCATCATGGCAATTAGGTCATGTGCAGCTGTTTCCTTCGTTCAGTACGGCTGCAATGTAGCCGTGAACCCCAGTAGAGTACTTGCTATCTACAGTCCTGTACATTTGTTCAATACGCCGAACACTACTGTTCCACAGCAGTTGGTAAATGCAACAAGCGGATAGCCTACAGCCAACCAAGGCATTTTCCGGCTGACGAGACACTCTCGGTTACTTCTGTTGCGGAACATAAAGCATTAGGGGGAAGCGTTGGAGGTTATTGTCTAATTCTTATCAACATGGTGAATTGAAATCTGGCTCTACCAGACTTCTGAAGCAAAAATGAAGGAGTACGCCATCTGCAATGATACCTTTCCCTTTTCTCTGCACGTAGCAGTCTGCCCATTATCAGACCGCTGAACAGTGGTAGACCAAGAAACCTCATGAACATCGAACTTTTGTCATAATACCCTTTGTCAGTCTCGTCAAAAGTCCCCCTCACTGTTTCTCATAGCGAGCTGGCGGCGCTTTTTGTCGCCAAGGTGACCTCCCTTCAAGACAAGGTCTCCAGCCTTGTCCCTGATCTCGAAATCATCTGTTGTGATCCAGTCTTGCGTAGAAGTCTTTTCTTTAATTACTTCTCGGCCGACCTGGTTTTGGATGTCTCTTCGACCATTTAAGAGGTCATTGCTTAGTTTTGCCTGTGAACTGATTAGACTTTCTTCCAATGTCTGAGGATTCAGAGAACCTACCCCTCTTTCTTTGGACGGCGCACCAGCGTACTTGCAGAACCAGTCCGCACGCGTAAGAGAGTGGAGGATCATTTTGCAATCCTGTGAAGTAGTCAGTATGTAGAGTTCCAACACCGATAAAACAAGCTTCAAGTACCTGGAGATTGCTGCAGATTGAGGTCCACCGGGCAGAAAAAGTATCGAAGTGTTCCCACGTAGACACGGTTCTCGTACCGGACCAGAGAGGGCGCATTGTAAAGCCCTGCTGCTGTTCCATTGCAGAACGCTAGTGCCGGGTTAGCTAAAGAAACAAATTAGACGCACACCTCGAGGTCTACCATACCAGAAGCCTCCAGCATAGAAGCTCAACCTCAACGCCAGAGATCCGGTGATGAATGACGGCTTCCAAGAGATCTGTAGGAGAACTCTCAGCATCCACCAAAGCCCAGTCTGTCTTGCTCATTCCCTTGGGTCTGGTCGGAACGATATCGACATTTTGACTGCTGTGGCTTCTTCGACGCTTCCTCGGATTTCCTTCGTCTTCAAGTGTCGCCGGGTTCTTCTGAGCATTGGCAATGTTGCCGAGGCGCTCACGAGCTTTTCGCAGCTCAAAGAAATCACTTAGGTCGGTGATACTTTCAAAGAGCTGCTGAACATATTGGCGCTGTTTGCCCGAAGAAGCCGGCCAAGACGGATCGTCTTCAGGGACTGCGCCAGCTGCACGCTTCACGTGCCTCTCATAGGCATCGTCTACCTCGGTGAAGTGGTCCATACTCTGGATAAGACCTTTGAACTCGAATGTCGGCATGACAAACAATTCCGCCTGCAGTAGCGGATGCTCGTGTTCATACAATGACAGTGACTGAGACCTAGCCTTTTCGCGTTGTTGTACCGGTGGGGCGGTTGACGGGCACATTGAAGGGATAGATTCAGGAGCAACCTGTCTCTGTTGCTGCTGAGGACGAATTTTTTCAGTGTCAGTAGCAAAATACGAGGGTATCTCTTGCGTTCCCGACCAGCCGTAAAATGCCGCACGATGTTCCAAGGCCGCAATTGCCTCATCCGCTTCGGCTGGTGAGGACGCTGCGACACTCGAGATCCATTCATGAAACCGTTGAACAAGGCCCCAAATCTCATCGCGATTACATCGATTATACAGAAGAGTTCTATAGAACTCGATATCAGGGAAGAGCCTGAGATGGTCGTGATAGCGGTAAGGGACGACGTCGTCTGCAAGGGTCCAGTCAGTCTTCCAGCTACAATGCGTGAACAACGCCAAGTATTCTCAAGGTCGACTTACTCAGAAGGACGTCAAATATCCACTGCTTTTCAGCGGAAGGCACCATAATATTATCGATAATGTCGAGATCAGCCTGAAATGGCGACTCCTCGCCCATAGGAGGTGCCGCCGAGGACATGAAGTCGGCCATGAGGTTCTCTTCGGCAGGCCATTGGAAAGCGTCCAGCGCATGCTCATCGGCAAGTATGCCGAAGTTTGGCAAGTCGAAGTTCGGCAAGCTGAAGTCTGCGAAGCTAGGATACAATACATCCAAGTCAGACACGTCAAATTCAGCCATTATGACTAGCGTGCGGGCCGGGGAGGTTGATAGGAGAATGGATACTGAAAGGGGTTCAGTGTAGAATAGAGGCGGCGAAAGAAGATCAAAATTGCGGAAATGTCGAGATCGTAAGTGTCTTTGGCGCGGAGGTAGAGAGAGAGATGGGAAAGGAGGACCCATCGCTAAGTCCTCTATTTAAGGGCCGGCAGAAGAAGGAGACGGCCCCAGGGCGTCGTCAAGTGAATCGTTGGGAATAGCTTCAACTTCATCTGGTACCCTACTAGGGCCTGGGGATTGTGGGTCTAGCCTACCTTCGCCATGGTCCGAGCTCTGACAGGTAGTCGGTTACCACAAATAACTTTCTTGAGATATTGATAAGATGAAGAAATCTGAAGCTCAACTACTCCTAGATAGGAAATCAGTGAAGGTTGACCCACCCTCGCCGGCGTGTCTGGAAGGGATAGACAGAAGCTGAAGATAGTTGTGAGAGTTCCAGGAGGCCTAGACCTTTCGGCGAGAGCTGTTCTGGCTAACGGCCATGAGAAGAGCCGTCACCCTCTACGAGAGACTGGCTGGCCAGAGGAAGAGACACCCTTGCCCTCACGTGGATCGCCATTTTTCCCATTGTAAACTCAAAGTACATGAAACAAAGAAGGGTTCAGAGAAACTTGTAGCTCCATGGTATTGAAGCCCGTGTCAAATGACCTCACTGCATGATAGCTAGCTTCCTGTTCTCGTGCCGGATTAGAGATAAAGGAAGTTGAGGGGCAAGGGCGACTTCATATAGACTTGATTCCTTCGCTTATGAGAGTCTACTGATATGTCGTGTTGAGTGTCATCAAGGATTCCGCGGGCTTTCGACCACTTTTATATGCACAATTAAAGCAGACGCTCCGTATTGCAGAGTGGTTTGTGACAAGCTACGGCACACTCGCTGATGTTAATGAACAACTATCTTTTTGTCTTGGAAACTCCCCCGCCAAACACATCTTTTCACTCCAAGCTTACCTGAATTTTTAGAAGAACTCCTTCACATGGCAAGGTTTCTATTAAGCAGATTTTACGGAAGTCAGCCGAGAAGTGTAAATCATAGGCACCACATATAGATTCTGCGGGTACTGCTGTCAACATAAAGCATCGAAGATCATTCGCACATCGTGTTCAGCCAGTACATGCCGCGATGTAGCTCAATACAATGACCACAGCTACTCATTACAAGTCTTACACTCAACCAAATCAATTCCGATGAGGCTTGGAGCCCCTTGGGAATCTATCAAGCTGTTCATAAGCATATGATCTCGGTTAAAGAACTCTCCTGGAGTGATCCACTGACGGTACCGGATTGGTGGGAGTAATCTCAGATATGTTGCTCGTGCTTCCTAGTGACTCTTTCTTCTTGTTCGGCGGCAGATATCTCGCATGCAGCGTAAAGACACGGTCAGTGATAAGAACGACTTAGATTCGGGCAAGGGACAGAAGACGGGCAAGCTTGGCACATAACTTCACAGGCAGCTTGCCGAGCGAATTGGTTTGCGTAAAGCTGCCCACAGCCATATTTGTTATTTAAGCAATTGAATTTTCAGTGGCAGCTTTGGAATGATGGCTGCAGAGCTGAACTTCTCCATTAAGATACAGGTATGGGTTGGTGTTGATGTCCAGTTGTGAGCCTCTGACCCGAGAAGAAAATCATCAGACCAAGCTTTTTGACGCGTCTCTCAGCTGGCCGCAAGACGGATACTGCGTAAATTTCCATATCACCACCAGTAGAAGGACTTGCAGGCGACTTGTGTTCATTCCAATACAAGCCTCAGCCACCCGAAATTTTATATCAACATGGAGAACCTCTTGTCATGGGGCAGACTTTCCGGTCCGTAACCTCACTCCTACTCATACATGTGTTCTCGAAGCAAGAACGGCTCTTCCATATCCACACAATGAAAGAATGCTGGCACTACAGGGCCCGTTGGCGCTTCCCCGTGCAGAAATAGCCCCTTGCAGTGGTGCCGGTGTTCGGTTGACGCCGATAAGTTGTGTATTAGCGGTCGTTGATGCTCGACGCTGTGGAGCAGATTATGCCATGTGTAGAAGCAGTGCTCTTGGTGGAATCGTAAGTTCGTGTAGAGGATTCTCCTCTCTCCAGCCATAAGCACTTGTTCGGACGCTGGCTTGGTGAGGTTCTTGTCGAATGCCCAAGGGCTCATACTATATGCGTTGTACGTGCTGACGAGGTCGCCGTTATAGCACTGGGATGGGACCCAGCCATATGCCATGACATCAAAAACGCAGCCATTCGCCTTTGCTTCGGGGACCGTAGAGCCGCAGGTGTGTATTGGAACTGTGTGTGGAGAGGGTTCGATGCTCAACAAAGAGTATTCATGGCTGAAAGCGCCGAGTGCGAACAGCAGCAGGGTGATCAAAGCGGACCAGCAAAGAAATCTTGAAAGGTGCCATCGACGTCGGTCCACAGAAGATTCGGTTTTGACCCGACTGTGCTCCCTGCTGAGAAGAACGTCAGCCTCGGGGTCACCTTGGAAGTTCGTCATGAGGAATCCCTTAAATCGATGAGTGGTGCGTTGGCGACTGAGATTTCTGGCGTCAAAAGGACTTTTCTTTGATGCACCTAAGAGCTGAATTACTCATAAGCCTTCGAAAGCTGAGATGTAGATGGTAAAGCGAGGTAACAGGAAGAAAGATCTCAAACGAGTGGGTAAGGTCAAGGTCTCGAGGCCGGCATAGGGAAGTCGAGATCGGAGCATTCTGCCACCTTCCTTTCAGTATCGCCGCCCGTGTTCACAATTCTCCAAGATATCAACTATCAAATATCATGTTTGTCTTGAGACTTAACAGCGTCGGATTGCGCTTTGTTCGAGTGAGAGCCCACCTTCTCGGCGCAGGCAAACATACTGTAACTGACTAGGTAGTAAAAGACAGCCGCAGCGTCGGCAGGTGAATGTTCCTAATTGAGCATACCAAACAGTCTACCCTAATCATTGCTAATACTAGGAGGTACTTTCTGCATTCAAAGTTATCCTGAACTTGGCAACTGTTGATGGCGTTTCTGGTATGCATGTTGGTTGACGCAGCTGTTGGCGTCCCTCCTCGTCGCCCCCAACGTGAACAGGGCCACCCGCCCAGCCCCCTTAGAGGAAACGCCCGCACATAGATCGGAACTACCGAACCAACGCGTAAACATGTCCTGTTATATCTGATCATTTATCTAGCTTATCCTTTTCCTTTACCAGTTGGTGGGTAAGGCCGTTGGATGAGCTTGTGGTCCCGGCGTCAGGCGGAGAAGGACGGGCACTGAACGTGTCAATACATACTAGTCCAATCCAACACCATGTGACTGCACATGGATCTTGCAGAACAAAGCCCGTCCAGTCAACACCATGCGGTTTGCTTTGGAAACCACAGACATCACACATATCACATTGGCACTTATCTCCTTAGACCCCAACCCCCAAAGACCGACGGTGCTGTTGGTGTTTCCTACCCGAGGAAAGGATGAGACTCGTGCCGCACTATGCTCATCGAAAGACTCCCTGACTTTTCAATGATATTTGAGAACATTGTTCAAACCTATCGGTTCAAAGCTTAAAAGAGGCATGACTCTCCCTCGTCCAGGGATACACTCAGCGAATTCTTCATCTGCGCACCATCAACATCAAGGCCCATATTCTCAATCAGCAGCCTCAAAATGTTCTTTGCTAGAGTCTTCCTTCCTATCGCCGCCATCATGGCATCTATTCTCGCTGCTCCAGTCCAGCCCAAGGCAGACCTCGAACCCAGGTTCATCTACGCGAGCCCTTCCATTGCCTCATTCGGCGACGAGGGCCCAGTCGAAGATGCTACGACAGATGCCTCGACTGCTTGTGTTGAATGCTTCTGATTCACAAAAAGCTTGAAAGTATGGCTGTGTTTCGGTTATCCTGTCTTTACCGGTTTCAGCGGCATCTGACTAGCAATTATCTTAGTTCATGAAGCTATAGGAGTCAGTCAGTGACAAACATTTGACGGGTTACTTGCTCACTTCTAGAACGCATAACATCAGATGCCGACTAGTCAAGGGCAAGGAATTTGCCAATGCACAAGGCAGGAACAATGAACGACAATAGCACTGTTTTCGTAGCACAAATTAAGCAAATCGATCTTTGAAGTCTTTCGGGTCCTGCGTTGTCTTTCAAGGGTCTCAGAATGTGATGTGTTTCTCTGCACAACCGCCATGTCCAATTGTCCATGTACCTTCACTAGGAGGATAGTATCCCTACACGAGCCTCGGGTATTCGATAAGGATGCTAGCTAAGGTGTTCTTTGCTCTCTCTTTGCGTGTTCAGGCCGAGACTTGGCGTTTCCTCGTCACAAAGAAGATGGAGGCAGCACAGTCCTCGCAGGCCCATGGACCTGGCTGAAAGACGCGGTTCAGGTCTGCTACCTGCAACCTTCCGAATCGATACTATTCCAAGGCCTTGAGGAATATAGGTCAATTGACCGACATTGGTTCACGTTAAACTATAAAATCACCCAAAGTTACCATGAAGACCTTCGCCAAAGAAATCTCCTACAGAATTTGATAACCTGATGCCTGCTTGGATGCAAACATTCCATAGCTAGAGTACGTGCTGCGGGGATAATACTTGTGGAACTTCTATTGACTCAGTCCTCTTCAAACCAAAGCCCAATCTTCCCAGTATCCTTATCTAGCGTGCTCTGTGCCTTATTCCAGTGTCCTTTCCCAGCCGTAGCCATATTTACCCGCTCCGCCTCATTGAAATCATACCCAACAACGCCTTCCAGGTAATCCTTATACCCGGCCCAGTTGTGTCGTTTCGCCCACCTTTGCAGAGCACTCAAGTCTCTGCACTTCTGATTGTAGCCATGCGAGTTGAAAGAGACGTACTCGTCTGATCCCGAGAGCGAGATGTCGGCGTGGCACATCAAGTCGTTACGGATGTGGTCTACGCAGTGCATGGTGTGGATATCATTGCGCGGCCACTTCTCGAGTGGTATGTTCGATGTGA